CTATGAGCTTAGAGCTCAGCGTTCTCTCTGCTCCCCTCTTACTCCAATCACAGCAGAAGATTTTGCACAGCTGGACACCAGTTCCAAGTCACTGGGTTCCATGTCAGTGCCCGCTGAAATCAACAGGAATTTGGCTACTGTGCTCAATGAGAACCAGATGAGGCTCTTTTGTGACAGTTGAAGCCACTTGCAAAGGAAGTCAAGGTACTGCTGGCAGCAGGAGTCCCACTTTGCATTACCAAATATCTCTTCCCCTACCAGTACGTGAAAGGGGTTTGTCAGGAGCTACAAACACATAATGACTGGCAATCGGGGACTACAACAGGACAGGCAGCAATCCCACTCGGATGGCACTTTGGAACTGGATTGCCTCAAGGATCATTCAAGAAAGCCCAGCTACATCCTGGTTTAAGGACTGTACTGGAAAAACATCCCACTAAAAAACTGTTCCCATGCATAATTTCAACACGTTACAGGCAATCCTGTGCAAGAAGTTTGCTCTGAAGCGAACACGATACAGCAACAACTCAACAACTTCAGCTGCAGTCAATACAGAATTCAAGATTTTTTTCTTTTTTTTTTGCTTTACTTTGAGCAATGTTATATTGCATAGTAGCAAAAAGAAAATACATTCAAACAATTGTGTTGCTGTGATTTTCAGGCCTGTTATTGTTTGTCAGAGATAATGAGGGTCCAAACACACTGGAATCTAAGGCCACAGGTGCTTGAAAGCTCTGAAGGCTCTCATGACTAAGAGAAGAGAGAACAGCAGGGGAAGTACCTGGAAATTAGTGAGCAGAGCAATCCCGCTGTCAATAGCCATCCTCCGGATCACGTAATTATCATGGACAAACTTGGTGTTGCTGTTAGGCAGGTTAATCACCAGATCTATCTTCCCATCCCTTACCAGCCTGAAGAGACAATGCACAAGACAATATCACAGTGTGTCGTGCTTAATGAACATCTGTGACGAACAGCACAGGCATGGAGGTAAACACCACCAAACATTTTCATTTGACTTCAGTCTTACATCCCAAGAAAGGAGGGTTGAGGGGTTAAGGCACTAAGCTGAGACTCAGGAATTTGGGCTTTGTTTCTGTTCCATTCAGTGATGCAAAGCAATATTCAGCCTTCATACAGCTCAGCATAACTGTTAAAGGCACGAGTGACTGTCATTAAAGGCTAAATATTCAGATCCCACCTACCCTTGTGTGAAAATGTAACATGGAGCAATACTTCCAAGCCATGTTAAATAGGACTGCTCAATAAGATGCTCATTAATTAAGCTGAAACCTCCCTGCTGTGGCAACTACAGACAGAATCAGCTAAAACAAAACTTCTGGATTGAATCTGAAGTCCCATTAAATCACTATCATTGATCTCCACAGGGCCAGCAATTTGCCCCTTGTGTTTGCTGTCCTGGATGTTAACACAAATTTGACAAGGTTATTTCTCTTACCTCCTGACCAGAGGGAGGTTTGGACTCTGGCTTTCCTGCGATGGCCATGCCACAGGATTTGCTGGGATACCATTAGCATTGAGCCAGTCTGAGGTTGCTTCTGTGGCATAAAGCTGTTAAAGGAAAAAAAAAAGGTTACTTACTGTTACTGTGTGCTTCAGAATACTGAAACTTTTCATTTAATTCATGTTGGTCTGACCCAACACACAGCCTGGTTGTCAGAGCTGATTTTAGAGGGCATTTTTCATCACAAGGGTGTCTCCCCATACAGAGACACACACAGAGAACAGCATGACTTTCGTGTTAGCAGGCTCAGGAAAACCTAAATCCCTCCAACTTTCAATTTTTTTGCTTAGCACTAAGTTTTGAAAGGCAGCACTGTAAATCCCATAGTTACCCTAATGCCACTGAGGAAAATAGTACTCAAATACGTAACAACAAAAAGCTCTCACCAATCTCCTGTGGCCGTGTTGTTAGCTACCTTACAGTAAGGATACGGATGCAAAACGATGCAGAAGAGTTACAAGAGGGATGCAAACACCACTAATTTTTTATGTCTGCAGCTTGTGAATATCACTGAAGATGAAGCACTGTAAAGACCTTCTCCATATAAAAGGTTTCCCCTTCTTCCCCTCCTGTCATACAGGGCATCCTGCTGGCATTGTTCTTTCTTGGAGAACTCAGAGGAGTTTGTAACGTGACACCCTGGCTGCAGGCTGATAGCAGAGCCAGGGCTGTTCCTGCCTTCATGACTCAGTTCTGTTTGTTCAATTAAACAATCATGAAAACTTTTAGCTGAGTGATACCTGATGACTTTACCCGTCACTCAGCTAAAAACCCCTCTTGTATTTTGAAAACTTCCTTTTTTCTCTGTCTTCAAATAAACTCCAAAGTTCTTTATTCCTATAGCAGGCCGAGTACCCTTCAGGCTTTGCAAACTATCTTTAAATAACTGAAACCACCTACCTTGAAACCCTCCTTATGCAGTAGTTCCGCTACGCTGAGGAATCTGGGGCGGAAAGACTTCTGAAAAAGGAAATTTATTAGATACAACATCAATGCCAGGATTTAGAAACAGTGTTTTGTTGAGCAACACGGAGCTCCTCCAGACCGTGCTAAGAGGCAAATACACCTTTCTGTGCTGAGAGTGTGTGTGTGTGTGTGGGCAGATGTGTCTGCATGTGCCATTCCAAGAAAACCGTCTGGATCCTGAAGCCTAAGCCACTCCTAGCTAAGACATATTTTTGTCACAACACCAGGGCAAGTGTTCCCGTACTAAGTTTGACTGCACCTACAGAAGATTTACTACTGCATATTAAATATCTCGGCAGTTGCCTTCTCAAATACACCAACTAGAGCCTCCTCTGCTCTTAATTAAACATCTTTTCAATCATTGCTCAAACATTTGGCCTTCTCCTGTGGCAAATAACAGATACAGACAGGCTTTGGGCTGCCTTTGGATGCTCTACTTGCAAATTCACAAGAAGCAGCACCTGTGTATGCGTGAGTTCATTTCTAACTCCCATGGGCACATGGAAATGGAAAACACGCAACTCCTCAGGAGACTGGGACACTCTATTCCCTTGCAGACCTGAACGCCCAGATACTTAGGGCACCTTTGAAAGACTCTCTCCTAAGCACACATAGATCCAAGATCATTTAGAAGAAAGCAAGCTAAGGACAACCTCCTGTAGACATCTGCACTTGAACAAGCCATTTTAGAGCAACACGTGAGGGAAAATTTGATCCCAGTGTAACTTTCTCCTGGCTGGTACAGCCAGGCAAAGCTCAGCTGCAACACATGCCCTTCTCACTGCCGAGGCAGGCCAAAGCTCGCTTTTAACCTCAGCCTGGTCCGGCCATTTGCAAGTAAAATTATTGCAAGTTCCCTTCTCCCTGCTGGAGCTACTGATGACGCAACCTTTATGGGTGAAAGAGCAATATTCTGAAGGGTGAGCCATTTCCTAGGAAGAAAAGGAGTCAACAGGTTTTTTTTCCGAGCACTCTGGAAAGCACCTCATTCTGAAAGCCATCTCGTTCTGTACACTAACTGGAAAATATAAATATACAATGTGACAGGGTTGGCAGCTTCCCAGTCACAGAGAACGGTTCTGCCTTCTGGTCAGGAGGGTTGGCTTTCACAACAGTATTATAAACTTCTATCAAACATGTACTGAACGCTTGTGACACATAAAACAGCCTCTCCATGAAAAGAAATTACAGCTGTCAGCTTGCATCGGAGCGGCCTCGGATTTACAAGCTGGCTGAAAGAACCTGTGTAAGAAACCATTAGTTACTAAAGGTGAAAAGTACAAGCAGATTTATTTAGTGGAAGATATTTATTGTAGGAGAATTGTATTCTTTTGCCTTTATCAGAAGAGTTCTATTTCTTATAACCTCTCTCTCAGGTTTGCCAGCATGCCTTGCTATTTGTACAGGACTACAGCCTCAGTTAATTCAATATAGCTACACCAGTCCTCATTGAGACCCCGCTCAAAATGAAGCCACTTCATCTCCTGTGATAATCTTGAATTCTGTCTCCAAACCCACTGTGGAGCATGGAAAAATTCTGGTACGTAAGGAACCAAGGCAGAAGGTTACCTTGAAACAACAGACTTGGAGTGCTGGGATTTAAAAATAAAATACTCCATCAATGCCTTCCGCATCTCGTGGTCACCAGCACAGATGTAAGACAGATGCACTCCATCCCAGAGATATCACTGAATAGCCCAATCAGGAAAGAAAATAAAATGAGCTTTTCAACTTCTCTTGCATAAAATATAAATTATTTAATAGCAGACTCAGTGTTTCAGCATCATGGACTTCTCCAAATTGTGAAAAGGAAAGAGGTCAGATTATCAGCTGGCATAAACTGGCAGAGATTCATTTGTCTAACCAGAAAGCCGTACTCCATTCCCCCTGGGGGCACATCAGGCCTTTCAAACCCTGGGGAACCTCGACCTGTGCCATGCCAGAGAGTGCTCACAACTGAAGGAGAATCCAGTGGGCTTGGGGTCCCACCTGGCTGCCCAGCCTGCCTTGTGCTGGCCCACAGATGCCAAGGGGCGCTCGCCTGCCTGACCTTGAAGACAATGGCTTTGTTGGCCCCAGTAGGATCACCACTGGAACTGCAACCTGGGAGCACACCAACATGGAAGCCCCCGAGCAGGGCTGGGTTCATTACCTGGGTGTACTGGGACCTGTTTGGACTGCAGATTGCAGCACAGACATTTGACTCGATTTGCAAAATACCCCAGAGTGAAACATCTGCAAGGAAACGAAGATCTCCCTCTCTGCTCTTGTTAGCTACAGCTGTTTGACTGTCACCTTTCAAGGCAGCCTCCTCTCACCTCAACGTAATTCCCAGCAATGGTGTAAAGGTGCAGTACGCTGAATAAGCGAAATATGTTGAGCCTAGATACTCCTGAGGGAAGCAGAATTCACAACCATTTGGCTTCTTATTTCTCCATTCTATGATTCTGTGATGCTCTCTCTGCAAGAGCTAAAAGTCCAGTCTAAAAACGAGAGCGAGCCGCTAGTCATGAAGCGAGGAAGCCTCCGAAAGCAGGGTATGTTTTGAACTCACCACCCACTGCAGATGAAGCACAGCACCTTCCTTAGAGACGACCACGCGGCTGGTGTACGTGCTTCTGGCAAGAGTCAGCCCCGAGCGCAGCAGAACAGCTGGCAGGAGCTGTCCCCTCTGCCTGGGGAGGGGCCTCCACCCCTTCACCCCCTCACAGCAATGACATTTGAACACGAGAGGAGCAACCTGGTATCTGTCCTCCTGTATTTCCCCTCTGGGGACACACTGACAACTTTGCCAGTTTGAGGAAGATGACCTCATGTTTGTGGTTAAAACGAGAAGAACGCTGCTCGTGTTGTCAGCCCACCTTATGTCTCATTCCTTGTGCCTCCTGTTTCCGCAGGGAGAGGCCCCCCTTTCCGCCAGCCTATAATACTCAGGGAAGACCACTCACAGTCTACGTGCCAGGTCTAGGTCAGCATTTCAGCCTTCCCTTCCTACAGGGCTTTATTTCTCCTCTGCTTCCAAACAGAGCGTTGAAACGCAGGCAGGTGACGACCCCCAGCGTGGCGAGGGAGAAACACGTGGCTCCCAGCACCAGCTGTGCACTTGGCGTGGGGGGTTTCGTTATGTAAGAAACACCCTGAGATGAAGAGAGACTTTCAAGCGATTGATCTGTCGTTTTCAAGTTTCTTTTGCAAGAAAATGAACTGTAAACCACTCATTAAAAAGGATAGAATCTTGTTACTTTTAAAATGTTTGGGGAGGTTGAGCTTTTGGTTTTATCTTCTTTTTTTTTTCCTTCTTTTTTTTTCCTTTTTTTTTTCCCTTTTTTTTTTCCTTAGGACCTTTGTACAAAGACCATTTGGCTCAGTTTAACAAGGACTGACACAGAACCTACATAAACGCTTTCTGTGCCTAGCACTACTCTTTGCTGCCTGTTCCCTTTAGCTGCTATCAGGAAAATTGGTGTAAATTTTAAACACTGGGCTCGCTCCTATTTAATTCTCCTGGCTTCTCTTCTCCCCTTTTTTAAAGGCTGTTTTAAAACCTGCAGTGATTAGACATACAGTAGGCATACAGTACCAACTGCCCAGAGTTCCACACTGAACTTGAAAACTTTATCTAGGTAGCAAACAAAGACTTTTCTGCTAATTTGAGGTAACTTGGAGCAACAGCTTCGATTCACAGACGTGTGCATATATATGTGTATATTTAAGGACTAGGTGGTAACCTGTGTTAGCAGAAGCCATGTTCCTTTCTGGCCACTTTTCACACACTTCCTTCACATCCTCTGCTGGCACAGACAGCCCAACACATTTTTCACATCCCAGTTGTCTGACAAGAAAATTCATCCATTCTATTGTTTTTTTTTTTATTTGCTTTATGCAATCATGTAGAGCATAAGTTTATCGCAAGCACAACGGGGAGATGGCAGGAGGCAATCAGTTGCCTTTAAAGGGCCCAAGAACATTCTAGTTGTGGTGGAAATGTCTGAATTTTTTTGAGGAACATACACACATCTCAAAGTTTACAAGTGTATCTGACTTCAGCACCTCCTGCAGCTGGTAACTATTCTTTGATAAAGAACCAACATTTTTTGCTTTTCTGCCCAGCTACCTTTTCATCCTGAAACACACATCCTCCTTACTGATACAGAACTGTGAATGGTGCAGGGCTGCTCCTAAGGCAAAGTCATCAGGAACTCTCTCATGTAAAGGCTGTTTGCAGAAGCCATTGCACTGGAGGACATTCCCATAATGACACCAGTTAAACTTTCTGTCACATACAGCAAATTTGAGGGATGTTGACAGGAAGAGATAAAAGCCTAAAGTGCAAGCTCTAGTCTGGTATGGAACCACTGGACCTGCAGAGTATGTGTCTGAAAGGCAGCTCCTAAGAGAAGAGAGCTCTGGCACGGCACAGAAATGAGAAACATTACTACACAAATGCAGCATTGGTTCTTCCTTTCCGAGCTACTTACTCCTAGCTGATGGCAGCTGCGTGGTAGGGAACAATACTGACCACACACCATCATCAAACATGGAAAGGAATAACAGCAGCCATGCCTCTAAGCAGCGAGGAAATCAGGCTGCAGTGTGAAGACTGTTGTCCTTTAATCCCTCACCCCACTGCACTCCAGTATATTCCCATTGTGACTCCAACTGAGGAGAGGAAGACGACAGTGCCATACCTGGTGAAGGTCTCATTGCCTGACAGTGTTATGCCAATCAGCCCCACAACACCCTAACATCATCTTGTTTTCTACACTGTTGGATGATGCTACAGCTCTGCCTGGAAAGAAATATATGCATCTATGAGGAATGCTTAGCAGGACCAGCTTTGCAGTATGGAAACTGTCTCCCTGTTTCAGTGGGGTGGAGAGGAACTGGTTTCAAAAGGGCAAGAGCGAATGCACAAATGAAGAGAGTTTATATGTCAGGATTGGAAAGTAGCATCCCCAGGGCTCTCACTTGGTTGGGAGCAAGGAGTGGGCTCCCAGTAGAAACTATCAGGAGCCAGAGGGGGAAAAAAAAAAAAACAGGCCAGCCCCAGGGAATCCAGCAAAGATCTCTCTATTGTGTTTGTTCCTCACTGTCTTATTGCACTTCAAGATGGTTTGCAGAGAAACACAGTTAAACCGTAAAGACACATGAATGAAATCAAGGCAACAGTTACTGAGTTCCTCTGTGTCAGTCCTGTCTCAGCTTTGATTTTTAGGACTCACCTGGATTCCAATCAAAATTCCTTCCTTTGGAAACGTAAACCCTGTGGCAAGCATAGCCTTCTGGAAGGCAGTGTACACATCCTCCCCGAAGCACGCGACCTGGGAAAAGGCACAAAGAAGGCAACATGAAGAAACAAAAACAAGCCCAAAACATTTCAAAAGAAACAGGAATGAAATTTTTAAATAAGCTCTTTTGACTTCTTCACGCAGAAAGAATCAGACTGCTTTTGCATAGAGTCTGCAGGCACAGGGGTGGAAAATAGATCAGAAAATCATTGCAGACAAATCTCATAATTTTAATGAAGCAATAACCAAGGAATAAGCAACGCTCTAGTTTCAAACGGCACACCAAGGAGTAACAACAATTGATTCTGCTGAGTTATGGGAATGCTGCACACAGCCTCTGCTCCAGTGTTTGTGAGTGCACTGCAAATTGTTCCACGGTATATAATGCTTAAATACCAGCGAGCGATCTGCACGCAAGCGTGTTTCCCGTGTGCACTGCAAACTGGGGTAAGGCACCGTGTGTGCTGTCATGTTCTTCTGGCAGTTCTTGTGAAGATAAACCATGGTATATAAAGATGGTTTTCCATTAGAAGTCCACAGAGGTACAACATTCAAGTAAAATGTTAGTATGTACTTAGGAAAACAACAAAGCAATCGTGCTAATTCATAATAATTTATTTTATGTAAACAAAACCTTGATAAAGAAATCAATAAAAGTCATTTGGCAGCCCCCATCACTCAGAACTGCCTGTGGAGCTCAGGTGCTTACAGGCTGTCATACAGTAATGATCTCCCGTAGAACTAAACCATGATCCTTACCAAAATTTGGAATTCTGATGACAAAAAGAAGAATGCATGAGCTTTTGGGAAAGTTGAAAAAAAAACACCAACCAGACCTCACATTTTCTGGACAACTCCACACTTGTTGAAAAACACTCAGAAGCAGAAACCGTCACAGATTTTTCTCTTTGAAATAACAAATCTACACACACATACAGCTGGGATAAAGGGGCTGATTGAGAATTGCTCTCCCATTTTCCTCTTCTGGTCCTTTGCATCACAGAATGAGCCCTCACATTCACGGTCTCACTGTTACCATGGCGAGCAGAAACCAGTGTTTCATGTAAGAAGAACAAGTGATGATTTCCCAGATCTTCTGAAGTAAAAAAAGAGCAACCAACCAACCAACAATCCCACAAGGGAAGGGATAAAAAAAATCATGACAACTTGTATATCAGCTTTTCTCTCAAAGAAAGCCCTTGAGCATTCTGTCTGCTCTGCAGTGTATCTGGCTGGGGTTTACGGATGTCCTGGACCTTCTAGGGTGGTGGACAGTTCCCTGCCTTGTAGGCTGGGACCAGTGGGTTCCAGCCTGCTGGGAGAGGTTGATCATTACGGCATGCTCCAAACAGCCACGATACTCAGAGGAACCCCCAGCACTGTGTCTTCCACTGTTGTGGGAACCCCGACTCTCAGCAAAATACACCTCTGCCAGAGAGATGTGACAAATCCAAGCCCAAATCAAGCTGTGTGTGAAAAATGTCTTTGAGGAATAATTGAGCATTTTACCCGAAGCAAGTTATTCTCCTTAATTCACTCATAAGAAAGACCTTCATAACTGTCACATTTTATGGCATTTGTGAATATGGATCTTTCCAACTCATAAAAGTTAATAATCCCTCCCTTATGACCAAGGCAATCTCTAACTCCATATAAAGCTCAGAAAAATAATTCTTGCCCTTAGTTATATTTTTATTCCTTTTTTTTTTTGCAGGGAGGGGCAGGTGTCTGTGTAGTCAATTTTGTTCTGAAAATAAGAAAGTCATGGAAGTCACTTGGCTTTTTTCTGCCTGTTAACTACATTGAAAGGAAATCTTCTGCAATACTGTTTTCCTCACATTATAAAGAGCAAAATAAAGTAATTCTGGAGAGATGTAGGAGATGTAAGACTGTTTTTACCACGTATCTCGGTATAGTGCTTTTTCATACTAAAATGATAAGACTTTCCTAATGAAAACAACTCACGTAGATATACCTAAGTGCATATCAAATGAAGCAGCCCAGGCTCTGCCCCCTGCCTACCTATGGTAGAGCAGAGTTAAGCCTGAACTAATTGCCTCAGTATTTAATCACTTCTCAAGTGGGCTTTCTAGCCCAGAATAAGTCTCTTGCCACCGCAACTCTTTTCCAGAAGCAACAGAGCAAGCAAGTTTAAAGATAGCTTGGGTCTATCTACAGAAGCTATTGACAGCTCAGCAATAACTGATAAACAAACCTCTTCACTCCAGATGAGTTAATATCTATTCAAATGATGCAGATGGAAACCTTACGCCTTGGGGGCGAGGGCTCCCATCAGTGCTGAGCCTATGCAGGAAGAGAAACAGCTTTGTGCCTTTACAGTGCGCCACGTGTACACCAGAGACACGTTTTGGAAGCACCTCGCAGCCCTGCTGTAGAACGAGTGGGTAAAGTAGCCCAGTCTCCCCCTCACCCTACCAACAGTCAGTACTGCAGGCACCACACGTTGTGCACTCTCTTGCCTTCTGCACCTTGGGACATGCCTTGATGGTTACCAGGCAACAACAAAAATATCACCACACATATCTGTTGCCTTTGAGTAACTAGCACGTTCCAAGACCAAACGCTCATGACCCGGAGTCTCGATATCGCTATTCTGGCACGTGTTGAGGGGGGTTTGAAAGCTGTAAGCACTTGTCTCTCCAGAAGCAGGTGATTCATAAAACAGACTGACGCCCTGGGAACCCCCCAGAACCCGACTGCTCTCCGATAAGCTCATTTCGGGCTGTCACACCAACCAGGTCCAACTCAGGGAGCTGACATGCAGGTAAAGAGGGACATCCAGTGGCTGAATAAACCAGGTTTTCCAGGACATTGTGTTTTTACAGATAAGAAAGATGTTTTCAGTTTTCTGAAGAAGCTACGGATGCCATCACAATCCAGGCAGTAATGATCACTTTCAAACATTCCTAATGTTTAAAGGTGACTTGGTTTATAAAAAAATATAAAATGTAAAAGATACCTCCCCAGTAGAGGCCATTTCACATCGGAGAACAGGGTCAGCATCTCTCAGCCGGGACCAGGAAAACATTGGGGCCTGGTGATGGAAAGAGGTGGGAGAAAGAGAATGAAAATCTAATGGATCATTTAAACAACAACAGAAAAATAAAGCAGCTACACTTAGAAGCGACAGAAAGAGCCAGCCATGAATTAATCCAAAGAAAGCAGTGGTTGAGGCTGATAAGCACAGGAGTACTTGGCAAAGGAGTCCACCCAGCATCTTGATGATGGACTGCGACAAGTAAACACATATTTCCCCAATAAATCATTCTTCTAACTCTTGCAGTCCTGCCCACATTCCGATGGCAGTTTTCTAATCTGTGATAACTCACTATCACTATCATTTTCAGGACATATTTTAAAACAGAAAGGCTGTGAAGCATCTAATTTATGAAACAAAGAGAGACTATCTGAAGCCAGTCAGTTTTTCTGATAAAACTGTTCTCCAACAGAAATTTTTCATTCACAGGAAAAAAAAAAAACCATTCCACAAAAACTCACTCTTTTGGTGCAAACCAGATGAAACTTTGCAAACGATTTTCCCTCTCGCCTCCAAAATACACATCCCTATTTTTTTTTTTATCTTTTGTATGAAAACCCCTCATTATCATCATTACCTGAGAACTTAGGACATTGTGGTCTCTGAGTTCTCTTGTCTAATTTGACCTTTAATGGAAAAAAAAAAAAGTGTGGGAGAGAGAAAGAAACTCTCTGGTAGAGAGTTAATGACCACCCGTGGCAAACATGGAACAAATCAAGAATTTTCTGCTAAGAATAATTTTCTACAGGGCTTCTCTCCATCCTAAACTACTAGTGGCATTTGCATAAGGACAGCATCCTTGCTGCTTAGAAAAGAATCTATTTTTAAATCCAAAGAATAATTCTGTTCTTGGAAGTCTCTGAGGGTAACGCTGCAGACAGGACGGCTGCAGTTTCATCACACCTAACAATGACCAACTAAAACCTGACAGCGGAAATGCGCTGCGAAAGAATTTTCTCAGTAAGTTTCTCAATAAATGTTGTGTGCCTTGGTGACTTTTAGGTCAGTTTTGCTTCTTCTATAAGTAAAGAGGAAATTTTTACAGCAGCCAACTCTACTGTCTCAAGCTGAGATACGGCAGTCACGGTGGATTATTTTTAATGCACTTATTGTCTTGAAAGGTAGCAAGCAACAAAAGCCGTCCGCCAGCTCCCTAACTTTTGTCTGCCACGAACATGAAAATAAATCAGCAGGAGCAGACCCTGGTACTGCAGGAAAATCCTATTTAAAACTGAGTCAGTCACACTCCACCTCAGATTTAACCTCAGTCAGGCCACGATACTTGCATCACTCTGCAAGCAAACATGGCAAGACAATATTTCAGTCATTAAAACTGAAATGCTGGGACTCCGAATCCACAAAGGAGCAGCTATGTTGAAAAACAAGAAGAGTTTCATACTGTCTTTTCAGAGCATTTAAGAACTGTTAGAGAAACAAAATCCCATTTCCATGCAAATATTCCTAGCAATAAAAACGTAAGAGGACAGAAAATATGACGCATGAATAACGAGAACGAGGTTTAACTGGAATATTTTTCCCAGTTTAGCATTTCCAAAGGTATTACCAGGTTTTTAGATCTGACAAATCCACACAGAGCACAAGCAGTATAAAAGGCTTTGTAGCAAAGTTTTTAAAAATACAGTTGGGTTTTTTGCTCTGCAGCCAACATTCCCAGGAGAGACAAAACTCTTGACAGTTGAGCTAACAACAGGGCAGAAGTCCCAGGTCTAAATAACAGCAATTTATAGAAGTAAATAAGACTCACAAAAATAAAGAAAGTCTCAGATTAGAATTTCAGATAATGCCTATCTGTGGCATCAAAATAAAACGTAAAGCTACTTCTAGACTGACTGGCTTGCCAATAACCTGAGATGGCTTGAGCCACAGATCTGGCTTGTGCTTTAACAGGCCTGAACGTGTTAGAGCAGAAAGATGTCAGGAGTTTTCCATTTCCTCAATTTCCACTTGATATGGAAGCTATTAAAGCTTGAAAGTTTGTGTATAAACAATTCTCATTATCCGTTGTATTTTCTGCACTGCTGTACTAGATTTTGATGATTAGAAACATCAATTATTTTTTTTCTCTTCCACTAAGCACTGAAAAATACCTACAGTGTGCTTTGGTATCTTGGGTGCTCTATGAGCTTAGCAATTATGAAAAGGAAAATCTTGGCCCCACTGAAATCAAAGGATCCAAGACTCACCCCCATTTTAACTGGTGGTGTATATAAAGGGATTCCATGCATTCAACAGCCATGTCCCAAATCCTGAAGATAAAATTGGGGGGGTACTCAAAACACAGATTTGTCCAGGTCCACACATACATTAGACAGTATTGTGAAACAGCCTGAACTTCAGTGTTCAGTTCTACGAGTGCATATTTATTATGCAGTTCATAAACATGATTCACAGTAGGTTAGAAGGAAGAAATAAAGGGAGATCGATTTTGTTAATAGTCACTGGATCGTTTTCCTTTGATTTTTCTCTAAAATTCCCAACATACATTATCTGAACAGAAACTGCAAAAGGTCAATTTGGTCTTTGGCCAATGAGTAAATCGTTCTCTCTGGGCATTAAAGTTCTAATTGCCTATTAACGCGCTAGGTACTGGCTCTGTTGTGGGGTTTTTTGGTGTTCTTTTGGAAACCATACCTTAATCCCAACGTATTTGGACGGAATAATGGGATGCTCAAGTGTGGGGAGAGATGACTCATTAACCTCTTTTCCAACCATCACTTTCGTGGCCACATCGATGAAGTCCACACCCAGAGTCTTCGATACAAAAGGGAAGGAGCGTGAAGCCCGCAAGTTGCACTCTATCACCTGATGGGATTAAAAAGGAGAAATACCAGGGTCAGAAGAAACAGATTGATTTATGTTTCTGGAAATCAATCCTTACTCCTCTTGGCAAAGATGCTCTTCAGACTGCCAAATAAGAGGCAGAGAAATTGTGTTCAATATTACAAACAGCGATGAGGGATGGGTAGCAGCCAGCTTGACATACCAGGAGTCTGGTATTCTCATCTCTGTTACCTGAAAATTAGAACTTAGGGTTTAGTACAAGACCTTTCCAAAGTTAACAGGCAAGAGGTGTGGAAACTTGTGCACAGGCATTAGGTACGACCTTTAGAAGCCCACCTTGTTCTTTTTCCATGGCAATAGCACTTTGTGAATGACTGGGCTATCCTTACCGACTTTCCTCATCTACGTGTGGAAGTCATTCAGCGACCCAAGCAAGAAACAAGGAAGTTCTGCATCCTGCTGAGAAGAGCATCATGCAGATCAATAGTAAAAGAACTGCTGTCAGTGAGAACGAAGGGCAGTGAAGGAGGACAAGAATAGGTAAGTTAAGACAGAACAGAAAAGAGGACTTATCCAGAGAAAAGGCAAGCACAGCTGAGGCAAAGTAAGGAAGGAAAAACTGTTCTGTCCCTCTGTGGAGTTTCTGAATAACTGTGTTTAACAGAAGAAAGGTGAAGAATGGTAGGTATATTTTTCACAATTAAGAGTCCAAACAGGATCTTTCACCAATAAGGCATTTCTTCTACACCATGTCAGGTTTTCTTTCCATTTCCTCAATTATACTCTGCTCACATTCCTCTGACCTTCTTCCATTAGCAACAGAAAGCCAACTGTTACCCACAAAGGGTCAGACATCTGCTGTACTTCTGTTACTCATAGCTACCAGGACCACGCTATTTAGATAACCATCTTAATGGCTTATATTAAAGACTTAAACACTTAAACTGTTTTGCTTTCTTTCCAATGGCTTGGAAGGCTTATTTGAATGATCAAAATAGCTAAAGACGAGAGAGGGTATCGGAGGTCTAAAAGCAATGATATTCAGTTCATAGGATGAGGTGCAGGTCCCAGTGCTGCCCATCATATTCAAAACTGTTAATTTTTGGGAACGACAACAGTCCACAACAAAACAAAGCTTGTGCTGACAGACAATGTAACCAGACTCACGTCACCCTCACCGCCAGCACTGTGTAGGTAGAGGAAGATGCTCTCTCCCACGCAGGCAGGGAGAGCTGTGTGACTAGGGTGTCACGGACGAGCCCCACATCATCAGACAAGGCTGCTGCTGCCACAGAGTTTCCATGACAGGAACCACAGGAACCATGCACCCAGCTATCCAGAGCACAGCCTGACTTTCCCCAACAGTCACAAGAGCTCTTACCAGTACATCGTTGCCTCGCACCAAAAACTGAATGTTGAATGGACCAGAGATGGCAAAGGCATTTGCAATCTTTTTTGTAGCAGCTTTTACCTAAATAAATAAATAAATGAGCATGTGTATGTTTTATAAATAAATAAATAAGTCCCACAGAATAGGCAGCATCATGGCAATAAATCACCTCACGTGGATTCCTGTAAATGTCACATCTCTCTGCCCTCGCATACTTTTTCTCTCTGCTGTCATTTTGGCAACAGCATTATCTTTCAGCAGCAAACATGTTTAATTTGCCTGGTAATCTAGAGCCCGAAGCACCATTTGAGGGCAGAAGCCAAACCAGCATGGTTTAACTCCAGCTGGCAACTGAGCACCACACAGACACTCCCTCACTCCCCACAGTGGGATGGGGGAGAGACTCAGAAGAGTAAAAGTGAGAAATCTCGTGGGTTGAGATAAAGACAGGTTAACAGGTAAAGCAAAAGCTTTACACGAGCTTTGCACAATTGAAGCAAAACAGGGAATTCATTTACTACGTCCCATGGGCAGGCAGGTGTTCAGCCATCTCCAGGAAAGCAGGGCTCTGTCACACGTCATGCTGTGGAATGTCCCTTGGGTCACTTGGGGTCAGCCGTGTCCCCTCCCAGCTTCTCGTGCACCCCAGTATGCTCGCTGGTGGGGCAGTGTGAGAAGCAGAAAGGCCTTGACTCTGTGTAAGCTCTGCTCAGCAATGACTAAAGCATCTCTGTAATACCAACGCTATTTTCTTTTCTCTTTTCAGTGCTAGTGCAACACCTACCTTCTCCAAGGCTCCCTGGCTAATAGTCTGGGTGGGTAACATGAGGGTGGCATCTCCAGAGTGAACGCCTGCGTCCTCCACATGCTCTGAAATGGCATGTGAGATAACCTGCACACAGCAAGGAGAGAGCAGTTGGCCACCTCACTCTCTCTCTTGAACCATACCCCACCTCCAGCCCCTCTAAGTACAGCCCAGCACAGTCTCCTGAACAGATAATCCAAAAGAGGTTACAGACGGGGGGGAAAAAAAGGGAATCACTCAAGACTTTGGAAGAATAGGCCTGAAGCAGACACAAGACATGGAAAAACGGGGATCCTGTTAGTGTCTTTCATACTGTGGTTAAGCAAACTGCGAACGTGGCAAAACCCACCCACAGTCTGGAGATCCCAAAGCTTCCTCCTTCTCTCCAACACACATTGCCTCGGGAGGTAAAAGCTAATTAGGCTTTAAACCAGCTCTCTAAGTCCTGCTTGCCACGAACACACAAAAAAGTCGTCATTCCCCATTTGTATATTTTTTCCCCCCACTCTTTTGTGGTGCTTTAATCACGCAGAAAAGCCAGCAGAGGAAATTCAGGCCGAAGGATTTAAACTGAACGAATTGCATCAAGGCACAACACCTCGCTATTGAAAAAGCCATCTTGTCTGCTGGTTAAAAACAAAAATTGAAAACAGAATACTTCTGTTAAATGAGTAGTTTGTGGGTTTTTTTTTTTTTTTTGAGAGAATCGTATTTGATTAGTAATGAAATGCAAAGTGAAGTTGTAAAAGTAAAACAACTGTGGTAATATCGTAATACATGCTGATCCAATTCTGATGAAAGTAATTTGTGAAGCCAGTGATTTGTGAATCCAGCAAAATTATATTCTAAACGATTCATTCACATGGTTAAGCAATGCTTAAAAAGACCCAACTATTTAGATGTATACAATAAGGTAGGTTGAGCTTTTCAAGCACAATGTTTTTGAACCTAAGATGAATTCATCTTTCCTTGTTTCTTTACTCTTCTCAGCATGAATCCATGGCTGTATAGTAAATCATTCAAACCACACATTTTTGCCAATCTCCAATCCTGGAAAAAAATTTAATATTAAAGAAAAGCAAAGATCTTACTCTTCCTGCCTTGGCTACAGCATCCATTTCCACCTCACGGGCATCTTCAATAAATTTAGTGAGTACCACAGGGTGATCCTGTCATTAAGTTAAGACAAAAGAAAGTTTTTATTTGAGAGCACCTGGGAACCATCCAAACGCTCCACTATTCATCATTGGGAAAGCTTTGGAAGTAGAATCCCGTAAGACCAATCTATTAATATCCTTATTTCCACAGATGAGTGAACTTTGCAAAGAAATAATGGGGGGAAACTTGGTGTGATTTCCCCAAAGCCACTGACGCATTAGTTTGAGTCCTCTGTAATGTCACCACGACAGGGAAACGTGGGGCAAAACCACAAAGAGTTTTTAGGCCAGACCACAGTAGAAAGAAGAGAGCAGGACAAGTGCATGGATCAAGTGACCTCTATTCTGTCTCCCAAAGATGTCTCTTTCCTCCAAGATCTTCAATTCTTCCTTCCTCTGAACCTCCCAGCCACCTCACTGGGCATACTGCTTCACAGAGTGATTGATTCTTGGCATACTCAATGACTTTGCACAGAGGCTGTTTGCTATTTTAAAAAGTCATATCCTGTAGGCAGCCGACACATTCCTTCCTCATTTCTCTGCCTGGCTTCCTAAGTCTCCCAGGGAGAAGTTGCCACCAGTCATAGCTGGCCAGGAACAACTTGTCCTTGACTCTCAGTACAATCCCTGGTATACCTGGTTTTCCTTCCACCTCTTCCTGCCTATCTCTGGGATGCTAGCACACACTTCCCATTCTTCTCTAACGCTTCCTCCTTCCAGCCACCTGCTCCAACAGACGGTTAAAAACCTAATCCACATTCTTCCAGGCCAGCTTTATGTCTCAACATTTTACTTGTCCCATCCACTATTAACTGCCTGTTATTTATTACAGAATAAAATGGAACAAATGACAGTCTGTGCACACTCAAAGGGCTCCTCTTGAAAAAACATAAAGCAACTCCAAAAGTTACAGACACAATTCCGTACATTTATCAGTGCAAGGGTAAATTCACAGGCAAGGACAATGTCGCAGACTGCACCGTTCCATAAATTTAGTGGCTCGTGTCCTGTAACTTTCTGTCTTGCTGCAGTTTTTCACCAGAAGATTTTATATGTGAATACAACGTTGTTTACTCCAATCTGTCTCAACTCGCACAAGAAGTTTTGAATACTACTGACAGCGTAAATGCCATAACGACACAACACAATAACAGAAAAGTTGCTAAAACATCAGAACACCACTTCATCTGGAGATGCTCTGTTGGATGGAGCAGAACCAGGTAAGGCTTTGCAACCAGAAAAACGAAGCCAGTGTCCCACAAAGATGCTCGTACTCAGCTGTATGCTCACAACTAATATTAGCAATATTAGTTAGCATCTGTGCTAGCATCTGTGGAACCCCTCACAGGCCACAAAGCCTTGATGAGACTAAAAAAGCTCGCTTATTTAGAAGCAAAATACAGTACTTTTGTTCTGGTTTGCTTTTTGCTAGCTTAGCTTCAACTATACTGTGGCTTTTGTCAATATGAAACACCAGATGAAGAAAGAAGTCTTCCCTTAGCAGTCTGATTACACTAGCACCACTATAGCATGCGAATAAGAGTGTAGGTCTCTGCAGGATCAGGGCCAGAGCACCCAGAGACTCACAGTGTGCAACTAGTCATGTCTGCAGCAAGCGTCAGGGCCTTATTTGTGCAGCAGAACTGGACATCATAAGGATCCCATGGGAACATCCACTCCTTTCCCTAGGAATACATCTCATACTGCAAAGACTCTTCAACTCCCAGCAGGGCCAGCTGTACCAGGGACGAGACCTCTCGGGAATGAAGGACAACATCACCCGATTCAAGTCAATCAAGCTGTGACAAGTTAAGTTGACCAAGGGTCACTTCCCTGGGCTTCAGCCTCCTACAGGGTATCCATTGCCATCATAAAGCCATCCAGTGGCACGAGAAAGTGAACGTGGCTTAGGGCTGCTGCCCAGCCTGCTTCTGTGAGTGCGCGGGGAAACATAAAGCAGGGTACTTAAGATGAAGTACAGAGAGAATCTAAGAGTTTTGGGAGGCTGAGCACTGCTAAGAAATAGAGGAAAAGACCCTTAGAAGAAAACAGACCGAAAGTTGAGGCCAAACTCAGAGACTGCTGAAAGGTCAGACACTGAATTCTGTACGATCTTCATTCAACCTCAACCACTTAACTTCCTCTTCCTCCCATATTCTCTTCTCTCTAAACATCTCTCGTACAATAGCACTGATAGAAGGTATAGAAGAAATTCAGACTTTGAGTTGTTTACTGTGTTCCCATCTTTGGGAAACTGCTCAAATTTTTCTTTTCTAAGTTTCAAGGTTCTAGACCAAACCCTTCCCTTTGCTAGAAAAAAGACACTTTAAAAAATCCTCACATTAGATTTTGAAAAACATTTAAAACAGAAACCACAGCTTTCATCTTCTGCATTACATACTCTGCAGATCAATAATCTCACTGGATTAATAGTAAGCAAGCAGCAGTCCTGGCTTTATATCAGAGGAAAATGGAACTCAGGACATGATTTGGAGAGTTAAATGTCATAGCAAAAGCTTGCTAATGTTCCTGCATTTAAAAGGGAAATTAAAAAAAAAAAAAAAGTCATTGGTGAGAGAGAAGATGCCAGGATGAAGTTTTAAGTTGTTCAAAGAAGCTAGGCAAAACAGAAATTGAGTGAAAGATGCTACCAGTTCTATGTTGGTTGACATAACCTGCCAGTTGCAAGCTTGGATGAGGTAAGAAAGGTCCCAGCCCAGCAGCCTACATCTACTTATACAATTAACTGGTCACAAGTGGATGCCTGGATACAACAGCTAACTGCCATCCCTAAAGTATCAGTAAGGATGCTTGCACAGGCTCTGATGATCTGCCTCTTTGGGAATAAACTGAGGAGTCAAACTCTAATTTCACTGGCTCTTCCCCAAACAAGGAA